TAGGCACCGATTGTTCACCAGTTTCTTTCGTGTAAATCAAACCGATGTTCTGTTCTTTTATTGATGAAGCCGCAATGGCGAAAGGTTGTCTGAAATATAAAGTTTATTATTATTATATAGAGGGTAAAAGTAATTTTATTTTTTTACTAACTTTATTGCCAAAATGTTTTTTTGTGATAACACACTTCGTCTGCACTTGAGCTCTTCATATGGAATCGGGGGTTCTCGTGATCCTTCTTCATTCACCATACTGAGATCTACTTGATCACTGTCCTCTTTAATAAAATCATCCCATCTCTTCCTCTACACCACCTGCCTTGCACTTTCCTCTCTGTTGACCATTTAACCAAACTGTCCTCACCCATCCTTTGCGAATGTCCAAACCACCTCAATCTTAATTTCTACACTTTCTCTCCTGTGCTAAAACCTTCACCTCTTGTATAGTTTCTGTACTTAGCTTATGACCTCTCAACGTCACACCTCTAATGCATCTCAACCACTACCAACCTTTCCTCCACTATCCAAGTCTCTAATCCGAATAAAAAGAGCTGATCTGACCATAGTTTTGTACAAAAGGTTCTTGAGTTTCTATGGCAATCGTCTATCACGTACCATCCCTGCAATTTTCTGCCACGCCCACTTACATTTTGTAACACATTTGGAAACCAAAATATTGGAATTACCAACTAGTAAGATACTTAGATTCTTATGATCCACGATAAAAATATTCATGATTGTTTATTAATTGGAAAACAGTCACAGGGATAACTTATGTGGGAAAACTATACAAAAAAATGTCCTATGTGTAATAGTTTTTGTTGTTTTTTAAGTTATTTGGATATTTTACTAACGTTATACACAGTTTCATTATGTCCAGCTAGCGAGGGTATCAAGCCTTGTTTACGTGTAAGTGACTGATAATTATTTTTAGAATAGCTCCTGATTTTTAAAAACCTCTTCGTAAATTGCTTGAACGATTAAGTTATTTTTTTCAGCTACACAATCGGTTATCTGCGTCACAGATTGTTAGTGGTGCAAGTCAGTTAACTTATCATTGAGTTACAACACTAAAACCCGGGATTCGATTCCCTCGGTGTGGACAGATAACCGATTGTATAGCCTTGCGCTAAAACAACAACTTATGTTGTTTCGGCTTAAACACCATTTCCAACCTGGTGAAACATGATTACAGTTCATTACACTTTTCATAAGACTTCAGTATTAGGTCTATTATATTTTCATAACACTACATTGTTTATTCAGTCCAGTAGGGTTTTAAAATATCTATTCTTTTTTTTAACACTACGCTTCGCTAAGTTTACTTAGCATCATCAGGTGGCTTGCTTATTTGACAAGTTATTCGCAAATTATTTTTCATTGTTCTGATTGTCCTTAAAGATATTTAAAATCTATCAGAAAAAACTATGAGTTATAAAATGAAAAAATCTGTCTGCTCGTCAGTTTTCACTATACATATTTATATACATATATGTATACACGCATTTATGCGCGCGTTTAACTAACGGAAAAGACAATGAATCTCGTGAAGAACAAATTTGTTTATATAAGAGTGTATATATTTCTGTATTTCCAATTTTTACAAGTCATAAAACTAGCGAGACAATCAAATTACATCTTTTGTGCACAGTTTTCCGTCTAAAATATCTGCGTTAACTTTCTTCTTTCTTACCATAAATGTCAGTGTTCTGGTCTTCTTCAATTTGCTTCCGGTTTATATCAAAACTGTTCTACTATATGTAGTTTTGCATTTCAACAACTTCCACATCTTGGGAACCTTTTTTATTAATATTCATAGCTTGTGTTTAGTTTTAAAAGGAAAAAACCTTCCTCAACTGGGGTGTTAGTATCCCTTTCGCCCCTTTTTAACTAAAGTGGGCTTTTAATCACTGTATTGACAAGGTTGAGAACCACTAGAACCACAGTTTAATGTAATGGCAAACGGTATGTCTAATAGTTCGTTGTTGTTGTTTTTTTAAGTTATCTGTGACTCTACTTCATAATTAAACATTTCTTCAAATATTCATGTACACTTTTACTCCATTATTTACTGCGTCATATCCGGACAATCGCTCACTTAAATAGAGCGAACTGAAAAACCATAAATTGCGCTTATATATGTGGAAAGCATGTTTAAAAGATGTAAAAAACAGCCTCAAATGTCATCAAAATGCAACATTTTTAATGGAAAACTAAACAATTTTTCCGAGAAGGCATGTTGTCAGAATCCTCGGTATGGCTACAACACTCATTTCCTTTTTACTCAAAGAGAAAAGCAGCTCTCCTTCCCCACTTTTTAGATTTCTGACTACCCCCCCGATATAAAGAAAATATCCAGGTTATAACATTGTGAAATAAGTAGTCTGCTTTACCAGGTCTGCGAAATCATGCGTCGCAAGCACCAATTTATTTCAATTTATTTATTTTAACACAGTCTCAAGGAGAAGAATTTGGTCACAAGTTTTATTTTTTAAAACACTATATTTATGTCAGCTTCTTAAAATATGTTTTAATTATGTGAGTAAATGAAAAAAAAAAGTTAAGATTTTAGATCAGGAATCAAACAAGATATTCTGATGTTGTTGTTTTTTAAATCCATCACATACGTGGCGATTCGAGTGGTCTTGACCCCATTCTCAAAAAAACTGATGCTTGGTCCATCATTTTCAAACGGTTGAGGGACCCTAGCCCACCTAAATATTTTGAGAAGATGTCCAACGGTAGAGTAAGAAGACAGAAAAAAATGCTTCTTATCTTAGATTCATTCCTCACATATGCATAGCGATAGGTTTAAAACAACGAACTAATCTATTGTAGCCTTCAAATAACTGCACAACGGTAATCGTCCAACTTAGCTACAACAGATTAATAGTAACTCACAACAATGTCTACCAAAAATTAAATATCGTGGTCAACTTTACCGTGGAAAATGTTTCTGAAGTAAATACAACTGTTTCAACCTATTGTTGTTGATCATACATTGCCTGAAGATCGTCTGCTCCTCTGGGCTGAAACGTCGCACTTTTAATTGCTTGAAAAAAACATTTCCTCTCTAAACCTAATCATTAAATTGCCTAGTGGCTCTTCACCTCTTAATACTTCCGCCAGAGAATTTTAACATTCGAGGCACTGATCAAACTACTAAACAGGGCTAGAAATTTCAATATTTAATCTGAACAAGAACACTAAAAATTATGTTTTATGACAGAAGGGAATTACCATGACCGAACATGTACTGGCCGATTTATAACACTCAGGCCTATCCAAACAGTTTAAATGTACTTGTATCAGTCATCACTTTGTTAAAGCTTGAACGTCCTTTAAATCTAAATTCCTATCGAGAAGAATCAGACTCTCAACAAAACCTTTTGGGTCCAGGGGCTCCCCGGCTTTCCGATGACCTCGCAGCCACCCCAATCAAGATTTCACTCAACCATTTCTGCAACAACGGTACAATGCTACACGTTGTCCATACAGACGTTGCATCTTTTAAATGTTTTATGTTTGAAGCATGGTTTATTCTTGGATAACACTTAGCTATGTGATATCACAAAGAGATGTTTTAAAGCCTGTGTTCTGGTCACTGATCTTTATACTGAACTTGACTTGGTATTAATAATGCTTGGAGACGGCTTGAATGGGTAATGAAGAAAAACTTTAATATAAGTTTAATAGCAAATGATAACAGCTGATGATGACAAAACGTTGTCGAAACATTGTACATTTGCTGTTAAACTTATATTAAAGTTTTTCTTCATTACCCATTCAAGACGTCTACGAGCGTTATTAGTCTCAAAGTGAGTTCCTCGTCATCGAATTAGACTTGCCATTGACCCTTTCATGTGACGTCACCGGAAGTTATAACGAGACGTTCTTATTGGTACTTTGATATATTTTCAGCTGCCAAGACGTTGTGTAGAGTTTCAAGTTGTAGCATGGAAGTGTAACAACAGACCTGTTTCATTTCACTGGCAACTTCGTCCCGTGAGTAAATGAATACGAATTGACATGCCACTACCAACATATTATAACATTATCAGAAATACTAAATTAAGGTCTAATGGAAGTAACGATACTTAACTGGGACGAACTTCAACTTTTTTGAGCACACATAACTTTAGTTTTTAAGCTCGGAGTTTCCTTTTAATTTTATCATGATATAGTAGTTGTCAAATCAACCGATTTCATTATTATATTCAAATTTCATACAACTTCCCATAGAGACAACCCAATCTGTTGAAAAAATTGATTGTAAATATTAGGAGAGATAACTGGTATCCAACAAAAGTCTCCAGGTTGTGCTTTGAACATTTTCAAGAAGCGTGTTTTGATAGAAAAAGTCAAAATGTTCGTCTAAGAAATAATGCTTTGCTCGCTGTATTTTCATTTCTTGAGCATCTACAAAAGGTATATTATCATCATGACTTAGAGTATGCTGTACTAATTATTTAAATATTTCTTTAGTTAAGTTCTCATTAAGAGAAAACTTCTGATGATTTTTTGTTGTCTATTTTGTTTGAATTCGTTATATTACATAAAGTTTTTATTACAAAATAAGTAAATGAAATAAATTTAATATTTCCAAACCTCTTCCAGCCATATATTCACAAATAAAGTTATGCCTTCATATAAAGGTACAATATTAGTGTCACTTCATATATTCAAACAACATGTGTTTCATATTACATACATACATAAATACACAGACCCTGGGCCTATAGTAACAATATAGTTTGTGTTAAGTATGTCAATCATGGCCTGTAACTACAGGTTTTCAGCTAAATTGAGCAATCAGCATTTTTTCTTTCTTTTTTTTTTCCCCCACTGCAAATTTTCTCAGGATCAAATATTAGCTAAATATGTGTGAATGAAAATAAGAATTACCACAACAGCAGTTAAAAATTAGTCTTAACTAATGCTTTGTTGGTTTGCATTAGTTACAGCAATTCTAATGCTCACCCATACGAAGAAACTAAAAAATCATTTTCACTGACAATCAGCTCATTTCTTTAAGGCAAAATAAAATACAATAAACATTTCTAGAGTATAAACATCCAAAATATATTTGAATGGCATTAGGTAGATATAAGTGAGGACAAAAATATATATATATACACTCATAAAAAAAAATCTTGGAAAAGAACACAGCAAACTATATATGTATATATGCATAACTACTGAATCATATACATGTATTTCATATACTGAAAGGTTTCTCAACATCATTATCCGGTGTAATGAAAAACTGAAATGAAAGTGATGTTATGGTAAGAAAGACCCCTTTAAATATTCATTTGAAACAACCAACCATTTAACTATTAAGATAACTATAAAGGCTTAAATAATACACTTCATATGCAAATGTCAGATCAATATATATATATATATATATATTAACCATGGTAATTTAATTTTCGTCAGTTTTAAAACCATATTAAGCCAGTTTTGAAATCTGTAAGAGGTTAACATAAAACCACAGTGTTAGAGAATGGAAAATAAAATTTTAAAACTGATATTCCTTTAGAATTAATCATAACATTATTCTAGCATTACTTTGTTAAAAATGAGAACTGGTTTCTATTTTGTTCTTCAGATGTTAAGGAGAATTTTAGTAAAAATAGTATGTGTGTGTATGGTTGTTAGGTATGAGGATATTGTGGATAAGGTATTTGTTTAATGAGAAATGTACTGGTCCAAATTAGCTAAAATAATAAACAGGCATCCTTCAAATACCTCATGAAAACTGTGGTTCTCAATCTTTTTTTTCCAACCAAGGACCAGTTAGTTCCATTCCCAAAATTTCACAGACCTTTTTTGTACAATATTAAATTTATAAGGTACTATTATATTACACTGTAAAACAATATACTTCAGTACTTATACTTTAATACACTATTTTTTCCAACCATATTGAGGACTGGCTGGGCTTTCTGAAAAGCAGACATACAATTTCTCTATATTTGTTTAATGTTAAAAAAATGCTACAAATGTTCAACAATACAAGAAACTTCCACTGATAATGTAAACCTATAAATGAACGAGACAAAAAAAAAAAATTGTTTTTATTACCAATGCATGCAATAACCACTATTTAATTAATATATTTACAATAAACAAATTAAGGAATCAACCACCATGCAAGTATCATATGAAAGTCAAAAACTAAAACCCTTACCAAAATACCAGTGTTCATCGTAACACAGGGAACATTCTTCAACATTTACCAAAACACATACCTTATATTAATAACAATTTCTTATTAAATGTTTCTGATTACAACAGCAAAGGTTCAGATTTCCTTTACTCATAAAAATATTTTTTCTCTGTTGGTGCTGCATATGTGAACTTCAAATGCACAAAGTATTTTAAGTGTAATATATTAGTAAAGCAACTTTTCCTTCAATCTCCGTACCACTATCAGCAATTAGTATCTCTTAATGAAATATCACTTGGAAACTGTCAACTACAGACTTTTGGCAATAATCAAAGAAAAGTGTTTCTGCTTTGAACAAGATTTCCTCAAGACTTGAATAACGAGTAAGTTTAGCTATACATTTAAACATTTCTACTGCATCCCTACATTTCAGGATGCGATTGCGTTGACTCACTAAAATAGCAACACAGACAAATAAGTCAAAAGTGAGTCGTAGATCAAGACCTCTATCAAGACAACACACAAGTTCTTTTTCTTTTTCAAAACTTTTTCTTCTTTTATGAACTCTGACTTTTTCTGCCTCAAGAGATGACATTTCCAGAAAATGGCTGCTTAGAATTTCAAAAAGTCTAAGTCCTTCTTCAAATTCAAATTCTCGTTTGAAGCCAACTAGCAACCACCTGTGACAAAATGTTAATTTTCCCAAATCACACGAGTCTATATATGAATACAAATAAGGGTCGTAATTTCAAGCAAATTATTTAAAAGATCAATCTTATGCACCATACCTTCTTCCTGAAAATCTGCAGAGACACTTTCTACATATCTGGTGAAACACCAGTAAGCTTCTACTTCAGTTTTTAGAACCACCAGAAATCGGCTGAGTATGTCATTCATCCCTTGAGTGTAACCAATTTCTTCGTGAGAAAAGATAAAAGTTGTTAAAATGTCTTTCAATACAAAGAGATTTGGATTATTTTTTCCTTTGAAATATTTCTGGTCTCTGTCAGTACGTGTAACATCTTTATTTATCATTCTGATATCTTCGTCCAGTCTTTCTGCTTTCGGTTTAAGTCTCACAGCCTTAACCTCAGCAAGAAACTTTATACTTGTTATCAGTTGTTTTGTTTCATCTTTTGCAGAGTCTGAAAACTCAGCAACTGATTCTTTCACAGTTGTAAACTTGTAATTTTGAGAATCTGCAATATCATCATGATCGTAACTGTCTGACATAGGAGATAAATCAATCGAGTTATTTTCCCTAATAAATTCTGCTGTGCGTTTCTTTAAAGCCTGGTACTGAAGGCAGTGATCGATATAAATCACTTCTCTTTCTCTCCTGGTTGAATGAAAAGGGAAAAAGCCAAAAAGAAATTTCCAAATATCGCTTCTGATGTCAGATTTTATGCCACGCCTAAACACTATTTGTCGCAACTTGTGGTCATCTACTATCCTACCATCTTCATCCAACAAGCGTTCGTACTCTTCCGAGGTCAGTGGCTCACGAACATCACGAAACAATTCTGACTTGGAAGTTCTTTGTAATAAAAGCTGCTCTTTATGATCAGGAAGGCTGACGGTAGGGCTAGAATCTTTGGGTACGGTCAAAAGTTTATGCTTTTCCACCTTATTTTCTCTTTGAAGGGAGACACTTCCTGTGCAGTTAATTTTAATAAACTCATCACTGTCATTTCTAATAAGTGACATACAGAAATAAATAAATGATGAGAAGCAGAAACTTAGTATAGATCTGGCTTATAAAACAAGGTTCACAAACAACGTAATAATAGCTTGAATAACTTATTTCCCTGCCAAGCTACACCTACCTCTAATATTTACTAAACCACCTGTTTCTATCTTTGATGATACTATTTGTTGACGAAACACCTTGGCCTGCTTGCCAGACACGGGACCATCTCAGATTCTACTCATGTTGAAACCATTTCTGAATTTAATTTATAAAAGTATTTTACAAGAAAAATATTTATATTTCATCTACTTATGTACGAGATATTAAGTAAACACATTTATGTTCTTGAAATGCAATACCCATATCATAAAAAAATACTAATATTTAAATATTGGATTGTACCACTTTTACCGATTGTGATAAGCATTTTGACTTTCACCACATGGCGCCCTTCCTTCACGTGATACATAACTAGCGCTCTCTAGTGTTTACGATTGTAGTTTCGATTTTGTAGAAAATTTATATTTGGATTTGTTTTAGCGCTAAGCTACACAGTAGGCTATTCTGCTTTGTCCACCACAGGGAATTAAACCCCAGAGTGTAGTGTTGTAAGTCCATAAACATACTGCTGACAAATTGTGGGCATATTTGGATTTAAAACTGATAAATCCAACTACATAAATAAGAGAAATAACTGACAGTCAAGTGCTCTTGAGATTTGTTTAGAGTGCACGAACAGATATAGGCTTATTTATGAAGGTTTAGAATCAGTCGTTTTCATTTCAAAATAAAAATTTATAAAATACTCCAATTTTCATAACGAAGTTACAAACAAATATTTGTATCTGGGTATATAGTAGAATCATAACTTTTGAATTATACGTGATGAAGACAAAGGAGGGATGCTAAAACGTTCAAAGTGTTACACTTGTTAAGGAAGAACTAACTCCTTTGAATTCTCATTGATTCACTACTCAAATTAAAACGTTTACATTAACTCACTGCTTACTTCTATGAACCGCTATGCTGCGGCTAAAAAAAACCGTAAATGTTCACCGCAAAAATTTCCAACTGAGTGTTTGGAAAGGAAGGCTCGCAACGTCCTTTCATCCTTCAGACGTATTAGAACTCTCAGAGGTCATATCCAGTCCTGCCAACTGAAATCTTCTAGGCTAGTAATTCTCAAACTTTGTTATTCACGAACAACCAGAAATATATATACATACCTTCGTACCATGATGGGATCTATACACTATTCCACTGCTTCGTTTCTTTAATAACGGAACTTTTTCCGCATCACGTAGGAAGAAGCTACAGACCACTGATGGTTCGCGAACCACAGATTGAAAATCGCTGTTTTAAACTTTTCATCTAATAGCAGTAACCGATCTAACTTTATTTCTAGCTATATTTTCATTGCTTTAACTTAGATGGCGCATGAGGTGAAGATCTAGTAACTCAAAGAAGTATCTAGATGAGTACATTAGTTATAAATACCAGTAAGCAGTGAGTTAATGTCAAAGTATTAATTTGAGTAGTGAATGAGAATTTAATGAAGTTCTTAAATCAGTATTAATTATCGTATACATTCAGTTACTCGATCGACTAATAAAATTGTACAACAAAGTTTATTTGGACGTTAGTCGTAACACCATTAGTGAGTAAATTTCTGTATAAAGTGAAACATTATTTGTGAACTTAGGCCTACAACTGTATACAAGTGATTGTAGCTCTTAGGAAACACTAAATAAATAAATTAAGTTGTTATTGTTACGTGGACTGGATGTCATATTATTTTCACCAAATAATCTAAAAAAACCCGCCAAACGACAGAATACGTCCAACAATATGTATGAGGGCAGACAAACATTTACTACTAGAAGCTGAGAAATAACCTCAACTGTAGGATACAACATATCAAGAATATAAGAACGCTTGAAAGAAGCGTGAAAGAATGGGGGGCATGGAGCTATGGTGGATGTGCCAGGTAAACAATTTATTAACTTATTGAAAGCCTAATCTTAGCATTCTATGTATATGATTCTAGAGAGTAGTTTGTTTGTTTTAGCGTAAAGCCACGTTCGAATTTAGGCGATGTAAGTTCGTAAACTTACCGCTGACCCACCTGGGGTCTCTAGTAAGCAGTTTTGATATGTTTATTTAGACGGTTATATATATGACAGCTTACATGGTGTGCGGATTTAATCAGTTATACGAGTATAAATAAAACTAGATAAGCACAAAAGCATGGATATGTGCACGATTGATTGTCACGTATGTAACCAGAAATAAATACATGGCAAATGCAGACGTACAGATGTGCATACGTTCATAAATACTGTTACGTCTCCGTTTGTTAATTAACTTTCCGTAACTTCGTTCCGACGAAACTTAAGCGACACAAGTTCTTTACTTAATAAAAACTGGTTTATTCTTTCCGAATATAACTTTACCGATACATTCAACTTCAACAATCGCGCTAAACAAACGCTATAACAATGAACGTGCTCAATAATACTTCTGACTGCAGATCAATTACTCACTGTCTATCCACACATTACATT